CTGAGGCTACCGGGAAATCCCCGGCGGAATTGATGTTCGGCAAAAATCTGAGAACTAGGCTTCATTTGTTGTTCCCGAACCCGCGTGTTGAAGTACAGGAGCGTCAGAAAAAGTTTGTGTCTTCAGAGGAATCAAAGCCGGAAGTTACATTTCAGGACCATCAACCTGTTTACACCAGGTTACCGCATGAACAATGTTGGCAGCCGGCGACTGTGCTCGATTCTTCAGGAAGTCAAATCGATTTGCAGCTTCCGGACGGCCGGGTTGTTCGCCGGCACTCAGATCATGTACGCCCCAGGAGCACTTACACACCTGCCGTGAGTCAGTCACACTCGGAGATCGCAGAGCAAGCTGCAGAGCACGACGAACACAGAACAACAGGGGAAACTCCATTGCGCCGATCGACCCGGATTCGCAAACCGATCGAACGTTTTCAGCCATGACTGTGACGTCAGTCAAAACAAGGAGGACTGTTACGTGTTCAACCAATGATCGCTCACTATGACCGTGGACCTGATTGGCCCTACACACACACACGTAGATAAGCACGCACACACGCACTCAATGACACACCCTAACTTTCCGTGTTCACATGTAAACCGTTAAGTGTTCAGTATACTGTGTGCCAGACTGACGCGTCTTCTTGCTTATTCGCTACTAGTTGAAATACGTACTTGCGGTTAGAGTCCAGCCGTGATAGTACGTCTGGCCACTAGCCCGTGCACTAACCGTGTACCCACCCCTGACACTTTCTCCAAGTCCATTCTGTCACGGATAAGACATATGGACTAGCACATGAAAGTATTTTACCCATTAGGTCATGCCTTCTGCGTAATTAAAAACATCCTTAGCATAATATCTGTTACACATTGTACACTAGTTTTCGCAAGTAAATGTCTTAAAGTAGGATTTTGATCCAATGCTAGATACGTTGACTGTCCTTTTCGGTCTTCTTTCGGACTGTTCCTCTCTCACTTTTCTCTAAGGTCGTAAACATCGGAGATTCAGGATTGAACTGAGGAACTGCCTCCGTCTGGGATGGGACGAAATAACCAACAAAAACTTACCTGGGCCATGGCTTCACTTCCACTCTAACCATCTGCACCCAACCACCGATGTTCAGTGAGGGTAGCTGGACACGAATCCTTCGCTCCTCGGCAAATATACATAAAGAGAGAAGGCTTCACGTGGTTCTGCAAAGGATCAACACATCATGTTCAAAAGGAATGTTTAGTACCCGACCTACCAATGGACAGGACCCAGGTAAATAAATAAATAAATAAATGCTTTATTCTCGACTATGCGAGGCACGCCCATGGAGACATGATCAGATATGTACAACTGTACAAACATTTTATGGCAACTGTGACAGTAATAGTAGAAAATTGGTCGTATGTCCATGTTAGAATAAATAAATAGATAGTTTATTCTCAGTTTCATAGAGACGCACCAACTTAGGCATGATCAAGGTTTAGAACTGTTGTGTATCACGATGATACTCCAAGTTCAATGGTGTATGGTTGAAACGGTTCAAGAAGAGTTGGTATGGAATCTAGTGACTTGCCAGTATGTATTGTGCTGTGACTTTATTCAGTGGCGAGTGACATCCGCCACCTCGCAGGGTTGTTAAACAGACATTTGTGGCTTTTTATAGGGAGAACGCTTGCCAGGCGAAAACCCACCACGTCCTGCAACACTGCCGTAAAGCATTTTGAA